TCCCCAAGCACATCAAGAACCCGCAGAATTTTTTGCATATTTAAATGAAAAGCGAAAGCAAAAAAACAACAAGTAAGTTTTGGCTTCCGTTTTTCCTGTTTTTTCTTTTTTTATATTTTTGTTCAGCCTGACTGACGCTAATGGAGCACCATTTGGTTGCACTGCTCCGAAATCAATTAGATAAAGTTTTTCCCTCAGCTGCGCGCTTTCCAACAAAATACAACAAAAAAAAGGAAGGAAAATTGCTCAAACACTCGCGCAAACCAAATCAAATATTTTTCATTTTAGTTTGAGCAGCCGAAGCAGTAAATTGCATAAAAATTAACAGTTCAATGGTTGCGGGGCAATTATTCCGCTGCCCGTCGCCCCTTTCCTTCGCTTTCTCCTACTCATTTTCGTCCACTCTTCTGGCTCATTAGTGGAGAAAAGTGGACCATCGCAGAGTGGTTTTACACTGGGACAACTTAAGCTTAAAAGTTCATAAATTTGTTTCAGAAACAACAAAATACTAAGGTGATTTTGAACATAATTCAAGCTTTAAACTAGAGCTGAAACCTTGCAAAAAAATGTTATGCCTTATGTGCTCTTGTTTTTATTAAAAAATCTTCATTGTAACCTTTTATATTATTCCATAAACACACATTTTTCTTGGTGTAACCTAGAGCATTCTTTCTCTTTACCTCCTTCACCTTTGTCCAGCTTTTATTTGGGTTAATCAGATTGTGTCCCTGTGGCCTAGTCCTGGCAGCAGTCAAAAGGCAAGTGCATTAGCCGCTGACAGGGCACTTATGAACCAACAGCAAATGGGTTTGGGGAAAAACTCAAAGAATATTCCATCCTCCGCCTTCCTGGTAAAAAAAGTATATATCAGAAATGACATTTCCCCATCAAACTGTCGCTGAATTCATCTGTTGACACAAATTTCGTTATGTTTTTATTATTTCACCATTAACCTTTTTATTGCTCACGCATTTCGGTTAACATTTCCGAATCCACACTCTCTGACCACATGGAGGAACTTTGATGTTATTGAATATTGTGTGTGTGTGTGTGTGTGTGTGGTGGTTTGCGATGCAATATTGAATATTTAATTCCCGCCCGAACGAATGAATGTCCAAGGGCGCATAACAATTTCTTGACATGTGCGCCCTCAGTTCCCCAATGTGGCGACAGTTTTTCCTTTTATTCTTTTCCCCCCCTTGCTCCGACCAAGGAAACAAAAAGGCCGGCAGAACAAAAGATGAAAACAGAAGGAAAAACACAAAAAAAAAAAAAAAAAAAAACAAGAAAAACCAATTGACTTTCATTTTGTCGGCCATTTTCACACAAACACACTCACATTGATGTACATGTGAACGCTTCCTGTTGCTGAACGCAATCATCTGATTGCAGTTTCGATGTGAAATAATTGGATTTGAAATAAAAATGTTCCCCATTCAGTTTGGATATGTGGGGGACTTCCCCTTCTCCCCTGGGGATCTTGTGTGGGGTGTGGATGGGTATTTGTATTGGCATAATTTGGTCGTGGCCTCCATTCACATTTGCGTCAAGCTTAACTGTCGCATGTGCCACTAATTTAACGTTTATTTTTATTGTCCTGTCCGCCTGGTTGGGTCTTCATTTCCAATATGTCTTGACATCCTTAATCTTTAACGTCTTGTAGAGGATACAATTTGGAGGCAAAATTTGATTTACTGAGGACATGTTTTTTACATGTTTCGTAGGCTTTCAGTGAAATTAAAACATAAAACTTTAAAGTGAATTGATTGTAGTGAATTTTTTAAACAAGTTTTTGTAGAATGCAACAATAAAGATTAACAAGACGGAAAGATAAATTCGGAAAGCCGAAACTTGTATACCCTTCCAGGTCGAATGTGAAATCAATCATAACTATATTGATTAGTATTTTGATTGCAAATCGAAATACATTTGACTTTAGACAATTTTTTTGTACTACCAGAAAACGTCACCAGACCAGAAACTTAATATAATTATATATTTATATATTCTAGGTAAATTAAATCTATATATGCAATTATTTTTTATGAGCAAATCGAAAAATTGTATATATCATAACTCGGCCAAAAATGTATTAATTTTATTTCGAAAAGCGTTGATATGCTAGTTTTTATTAAGTTAATAAACCTGCATACTTATTTATTTCAATTTTTGACAATTTTAACGATGTAACCCCTTTCCTTTTTTTGCAAAAATGGGAAATTTTGAAAAATTTTGTTGATGCTGATCAAGAATATATATAATTTATAGGGTTGGAAATGACTCCTTCACTGCTTTGCAAGCTTCTGAATCAAATTATAATACCCTGGAAGGGTATAAAAATAGCAAATCGGAATTAATTTAAGTATTATTATTATAATATACTTAATTTTATACATGTTTTTTCATAAATATTTATCGATTTAAATGACGGTTTAAAGTGACCTCTGTGCTGTGCTCTCCATTGTTTTCCCACATGAATTCGTCTTAAATGGCAGACATTAAAGCAATATTATTTTCCCGCTTCCTTTTGTCTTTTCATTTCTCGGAAAATTTCTTTGTTTCACATTGCTTTTAATTGATATTCTCGTTTGTTGTTCAATACAATACCCAATATTTTTGCATTCGTCCATATTATTTCATATATCTCAACTTAATCCCTCGACCAAATGAAAATGCCAGAGTCAGTTGTGAGTTTTCTCTTTCAAATTAAATTTCTCAATTTTATTATTTTCACATTTTTTCGGTTTCTTGTGTTTGCATTAAAATTGTGTGTGTGTGTTTTCGAGAAGATTTCATAAAATGTTTGCCATGTTTATCTTTACACTTTTAATTGCTATCCATATTTGCTATATCAATAGTACACGGTCTCTTAACTCTAATGCTATTTTTCATCATCGTACATGTATATATATATATATATATAGACTGTAGTTTGTTTTATCAACCTTTACGCTACGATTTGGCAGCACTAAATCTAACATTAATACGTAAGGTATATGCAGGACAGCTCCTCCTCGTCCAGCAATTATTTCAATTCGAACATCTACCACACACAAATATTGTTTGTTTATTTGTTTGTTATTTTCCGGCTTGTCTCGGCTTTTTTCTCTACTTTCCGGTTTAGTTGTCTATTTACAAAAATACACACGAAAAATTATGCTGCAACTATTGTTTATTTTTTACTTATTGTATTTTTTCTTTGCCATATGCATCTGTTTTTGAGAGCTCCGAAAAGGCCGCCCGCCCGTTGTTGTTTAATTAAAATGCTGCGCGTCATTTTGGCTTAACTAAATATTTGCTGTGATTTTTGTAAATAGAAGTATTTGTTTAATAATTATTTGCTCGGCTTTATGCTGCTGCTGCGACGATTGTGTGTCATTACTTTGTTTCTGTATACATATCTGTAAACGTATATATAGATATATATATATATATCGATTTTACTGGCTAACGCTACAAACTGTACGTCAAATATTTGGCAATTAGTTTTTGTTGCTGTTATTGTGGGTTCTTATCGCATTTTACTTTGATTCTCGACAAATTAAATGCAAATATTAACGTTATTCGAATTCTATTTTTCGTTTTATTATTTTGTTTTTCGGCTTTTTTTGTATGGTATTTTGTAAATTTTAAATATATATTCTATGGAAATTGTACATGCAATATTCAGAATTGAAATGTTAGTTCAAGTAAACTCCACTACAAGTAAATGTTAATAACTATAATTTACAGTTTGACGTTTCAATGTACAGAGCAATTAAGTTTAATTATTGTTTGCTATCCATACGGCCGAGATGTTTATTTCGATTTCTGTTTGCTTTTCCCCCCCTTCCCTTCCCTCGACCACTTTTCCGAGTCTGCCGCCCAATTATGAGCGTTATTTACGGCTCCAGCAACCGCCAACTGCCAACTGCCAACTGCCAACTGCCAACGGCCAACCGGGCAACCGGGCAACAACCAATGGCCAACAAACAAAAGGCAACTTATTTTCACATAATTTTCTAAATCGCCCCCATTTACGGCACCAAAATGTCGTCCAAAAGCCATTTAGCAGGCAAATAATTACGTCCTGGCCCGGACCAACTTTATTAACTGCGCAGGGAGACAAAAGTCCAAGGGTCTGGGATCCCCATCACATACCGAGATTGTGCGGAATGCGAGCTCCGAAAGTGTCAAATATCGAATTAACTCATTTGAGTTGGTTCTTGGCTCTCGTCCCGCCCTCTTCTAGATGCTTGAAAAATATCCTAAATCTTGGCCAGCTGGCCAGTGTCATGAGCAAAAAGTCGTCCAGAAAAAGGAAACCTTCATTAAATTTGACAATGCTCAAGGACTAAACCGGACCGGACTCTGGACCGCACACTCCGCTCTAGGGTTTCTTTTGTAGGCGATTTTTGTGCTGTGCTGGCAAGCTGAAAATAAAAAGGTTGCCCACCACCGCAACTCTTAAAAAAAAGTGCCACCCCACCACTGGCTCCACAAGAGTTCGACACTTGCCCACTTGGAAGTTCCTTAATTAAGATTTTGTGCGTCCTGGCAGAGGAGGATGCCACTCGACTGGAGATGGAGATGGAGACTCCCCATCTAATCCCCACCCAATCGGGCGTAGGTTGCTGGTCAGCATTACTTTAATTGTTGTTCGGAGCGCTTTGTCGAGCATTTCGCTTTTGTGGCCGAAAATAAATCCTTCTGAATTGCTTAAGCGTACTCCGCTTGAACGCCTTCCAAGACCCCCCATCCCTGCTCTTCCATAAAAACTTGTGTCTATCTACACTTGAGGGAAAGTACTAGTCGGAAATTCGGGTTACTAAATTTTAACTAGTTTTTGGTGAAGTTTTGTGAAAGAAGGAATACAAGTACTTGTGGGTGTATAAGGATCAATTTTGAAGGGTGTAAAGCTTGACCGGAAAAAAAAGTTACGAAAGAAATTAGTGTTTAATATCAAAGTAAACTGACTTTTGAATTTTTATTTCTTCAAAGGAATGTTTATTTAAAACTGAAACTGTTTATAGAATAAAATAGAAAACTAATCGAGGCTTATATTCTCAATTAAATACTTGATCAAGAAATGATATTATGGTCTTATTAGAATTATAGAAATATTCCTTAATCAGGCTTAGATTCCTCGAGCATTTCTCTGAGTGCTCTCTATCCCAAATCTAGCTTTCTCTGTTTCACTTTCTCCGACTTGCTTCCTGTTGCTGTCGCCGCTTGTGTGCACGCGCCTTCTCCTTGTATTCCAATTACAAAGCCACAAAAAGTTGAAAAAGCTGTGCAATGACTGTGGCCCGTCCTTCAGAGGGGTCGGTACTGCCACCGTTTCCCAGTCCAAGTCCAAGTCCAAGCCCAGCCCGAGCTCAGTTCCGTTCAGTTCGGTTTAGTTTAGTTCTGTGGTTTGGGGGTAGCAAGCGAGATTGTTGCACAAGTTTTTATCGTGTCTTAATGTAATTGTTGTGTTCTCGGTTCGTAAGACGTTCCCCGGACCATTTTGCCACCCCTGGAGACCCAGAGGCAGCCGCGTGTCCTGTAATTTGATTTGCTGCCACATTATTTTGATGTCCGTTAGATATACGTGAACGCGAGGCTCCCCCCGAAATAGTTTTACAACATTTCACTTTTGGCATGGCGGATTAGATGTCTGGCCATTTGGCTGGATTTACACCATATGTTGTGCTGGTCAATTTGTAAAATGAGGTTAAGTGCGGGCTGATTCCCACCCTTAGCACAACTTTCAATCTCCCCCATCAATGTGGAGTGGAGAATGGCAGCTAGATGCCAGGGCAGATAGACCAACACTTGGCCGACTAACCGAAGGGTGAACTTGCCGGAGGGGCAGGGACGAAACTTTAATTAGATTGCAATTTAAACTCGGGAATCTGAAGCAGCTGGCAAAGTAGGTTAAGTTGTAGTCAAGCATCGAACATCGAAGTCAGGGAGAAGGGCTTAAAGGATACTCAAAGGAAAGGCTTGAAAGGTGGCAAGTTCCCTTTTAATTTCTCCCCATAAAATAGAGCCCTACAAAATCGATATTAAAAATTCGAAATGCCAATTTGTTCTGTCACAAACAATGTCCATTTGTTCCCATATTGATTTTTTCTCTCTCAACCAATTCCTTGCGATTTATCCGCCTTACTCAGCATCTGCTGCCACAACTTGTGATTACTGAATTGGGGCTGTCATAAACTAAATTGTTATTTAATACTTGATCGATATTTCATTTTTATATGCATGACTATCAAAACACTTAATCTTGGCAAACGGACAGGCACTTATATAAAGTTAACTGGCGGCCCGCACACGGCACTCGGCCAGTAAACTGACCCAAATACGACCACAAGATGGACACATCGACTCGATTCGACTTGACTCCACTCTGCTGGCCGGCTCGAATGGCTCGTAAAAAGTTTGCTGGCGTTGGCTATTTGGCCGCTTGTCTACGCTCGTCGCCTTTCCCGGGCGTACACGCGGCGTATACGTAACAGAAATTTATGACAAATTGTTGCTGCTAACCGGAATCGCTAAGAGGTCTGCAACGTGTGGGCGGCGGTGAGGCATCATAAATCAAGCCTGGGAGCCAACTTGAAATAATATATGTTCTGCTGTTCAGATACATATATGTATATATATAGATCTTGGCATGTACCCAGTTTCCAGTTCTCTAGAGAGTTTTGAAAAGTTGCATTTGAATGAAAGTGTCTATCCTGTTTATATATGGCTTTAAAGATTTATGGGAAATATTTAAACTGAACTTTTAAAGGCGTTTGAAAGTTTCTTCACTAGTTTTTTCTATGTTCTTAGCAAATTATAAATTTGAGAAAGAAATCCTTTTAATTTCTAAACTCCTTAATTAGTTGGCTTTATGACTCATTAGGCAGATAACAGTTGACGGGCTTTGCCTTACTCTATTTCTCTACTGGAAGGGCGCATATTGTCGCTGGCCAAAGACGGTTTGTCACCAAAGACCCAACCTCCTCGAACTGGGGGCCATCAGCCTGCTGCTTACCGATCTTATGCCTACCGCCGTCGAGGACTCAGCCTCCGCTGTCGTGCCGCCCAGATCAGTGGCTGCCATCCGGTCCGTCCTGGTGACTGAACCGTTGCCGGTACTCCTGCCGCCCAGCAACTCCATGGGCAGGCTGGGCATGGCCGCAGGTGGACTGCTGGGAGCCATTTCTATGTAGTAGCTGTCATCTCTGCTGGGCGAGTGCAGGCTGCTGCGACTGCTGCTACTGCCCGATGAGGTGGACCCGGCGGAGGAGCACTTGTCCGCCAGCGAGGCGCTGTAGAATTGCTGGCAGCGCTGCTGTTGCTGCAACTCACGGGCCTGGAGATTGTGCAGCGGCGAGCTGTAAGGAGCCTCTCGCCGGGTGCTGTGATGCCACTTGTGCAGGCGAGCAGGATCCCCCGTTGAGTTGAGGGATCCCTGGTAATGCAGGAAGCTGTGGACATCATCGGTGTCGCCGAGGTGTCGCTGATGGTGCGGTCGCAGATGACCGGAGCGATTACCTCGCTGCCAGGGCAACTCGCAGCGGTAGACATGCGCCAGGCCTGCCATCAGAACGATGAACAGGATGCAGGCCACCAGCAACATTACGCCAGGATGATTACCCGTCAGATTGTGATGGTTCTCCTCCCGCTGATCCATCAGGTGCTCCGGCTTTGACTCGCTCTTAAGCTCCACATAGGCTTTTAGCTGGGCAAAGGTACTGAGCTCCTCCAAGGAGGCTTCTCGGGGAGTGTTTACACTGCTATGTTGGTGCTGTGGTTTTACCGATGTCGCTGAAGTACTAAGCTCTACTGTAGAAGGTGCTGCCATCACCGCTGCTGGTTTTACAGCATGTTTGGTACTGTAGGTCATCTTCTTGATACTCAGCGATGGCTTCTTTTTGTGGCTTTTGGCCGGCGTCTTTGTGTCGCCGTTTATTGCTTCCGCCAGTCGCTTATCAGCCGCTGACTGGCGCTTTTCCGGCTCCGTCTGCTGATGTTGCTGCTGGCTCGTGTCCAAGTTGCTGGAATCCATATCCGCAACCGAATCCGCGTCAGCATCCGCCACAGTGGCCGTGCCCGGGAGCAGTAAATGCTCGGCATCCACCAGCAGGACATCGCCCTTGTGCATCAGCAGCGGTGTGCCAATTAGATGGCGATCCTTAACGTGCAGCTGCAATGTTGCATGCTTGTGTGTTGCTGTTGATTTTGCCTTTTCTGTTGCTACTTGACCGGATGTGTCGCTTGTTGGGTATTTTAATAAAGTCCCTTGTGCCTTATCGGCTGGCATTTTGTCAGATTTTTTGCTGGCCAAAATTGTTTGTGGCACTTCAATTGCCGTGGTTGCTGTTGCAACTGCTACTGCTGCTGCTGTTGTTTTTGTGGCACCACTAATGTTCGCTGGTTGGCTGGAATTTATTCTTGTTGTTGCCGTTGCCGTTGCCGCGGTGGCTGTTGCTGCTGGCATTGCCAAAATGGGAGCTGGTGTTGTTGCCTCCGTCTGGACCAAAGTTGGCAGGCTCTCGGCTGGTCTAGTTGTTGTGTTCTGAGCTGGCATGCCAGGGATTTGTTCTTGCTGCCGTTGCTCTAACGAAGTTGTTTCTGCTGGCCGCAAAGTTTTTGTGGTTAACGGGGAAACGTTGTTGCCAGCTGATTGCATTGCTGTTGGGGCTGGCGATGTTGCTGCTATTTCTGCTGATGTTGCTTGTGTTGCAGGTGTTGCTGTTGCTGATGTTGCTGCTGGGTCTGTTGCCTTTGACTTTTTCACTTTTGGCATAGTTCGCTGAGTCGTTGCAACTGCTGCTGCTGTTTCTGTTGCTCTGGAAACGCTGCAACTCGGCGGCCTTGTTTCATTTTCCGGCTTCCTTTCACCGCACTTGCATGCGCTAAAGTTCTCATAAAAGTCATGGAACTGAAGATACTCCGCCTTTAGGTTCCTCTGTCCAGTGTCACTCCTTGACTGACCCTCTACTGCCCTGCAGGGACTGGCCCATTCGGCTATGGCCAGCAGATCGCTGCATTTGATGGGATTGTCTTCCAAGAGCAAATCCCTTAGCTGGGGAAGAGTGTGCACTATTGATTGACTAACACTCTCCACTCCCGATGATTGAAGGTTGAGGGTGAGCAGCTTGGGCATGGATAGGGCAGGCAGGAAGATCAAGCGGTTGCCGGAGAGATCCAGGGTCTGTAGATTCACCAAACTAGCAAAAGCTTGTGGCGGCAGTTCCATGATTTGGTTGTTCTGAAGGAACAGATGTTCCAGCGATGTTGGCAGGCTGCTGGGCACACGCATCAGCAGATTGTGATCCAGAAAGAGGGATGTAAGCAGCTCCAATCGACCCAGGGCATCGTCCTCCACTTGGGCGATGCGGGAGTGCGAGAGATCCAGATATTGCAATAGGGGATAGCTGTCCATGTCACCGCAGTTGATGGCCTGCAAAATGGGAGACAGAGAAAACAATATTTTAGAAAGATTTTATATAAAATTTGGTGTTTTTAATGAACTAAGTTTATCAAAAAGAAAAAAAGAATTTCTAAATTTAATTATTGAATTCACAAATTGCCAACGAAAACTTTTAAATCCCTGTCTAGCCACTGACTTTGCTGGCACTCTCAAAGTTATTGTTCTGGGTAAAAGTCTGGGGAAATTTGATTAGTGGCTGACAAAGAGGGAAAGTGCGAGTTGCATGCCCGGTCGACATTGTTTAAAAATTAACTTAAATCTGCCATTATAATTACTTCAAAGGACTCGCAAGCGCTCGCGCTTGCCCCTTTCTTCAGCTCCTGCGATGGTTGCAATGCCCGGGAGCAATGCTCGTCTAGCGCCAAAGTAAACATAGACGCGACTCGTTAAATGAGACGAGTGCCAGGCAACCAACCGACCAACCAGGAAGCCATTGGCCCAGACAGCCTGCCGTCGTCTCTGTCCTGCGGCACCGAATGAAAGTAATAAGAGTGTGGTGGCCCAGTTGGGGAGGAGGAGGATTGGCAGTCGGCAACCAGCCACCAGCGGCCCCTAAACGCCATAATTTGCCATGAAAAGGCTGCGTGTTGACTGCCGATAAAGGCAGTAGTAGTAGCAAAAGGCTGGAGCAAAAGGCCGTCGTCTCTCCTGCCCGGCCCGACGAACAAATTAAAATGGCTTGGCTTGGCAACAAAGGCGCCCGGGAGCAGTGACGAGCCACTCCAGGAGCGGCAGAAGCGTCTGCCTAGATAGTTGGCTATTACACTCAAAAAATCTGTGTTAATTAAGGCAAACTATAAACTATAAACTCATTACATTTTCATGAAGTTCACTGTGGTTTTTAAGACAAAGTAAGAGTTTTATTTTAATATAAAATGCACTACAATGAATCCGATTTCTAATAATTTTTAATTAGTCTTAAATCTTCACTATTATTTGTGTTCAATATTATTTCTAATGATCCTTAGATCTGTTAATAATTAACTCTTATTTTGTTGAATTGCAATTTCTTGTGTAGTTAAAGTTCTACAAATTCTAGAATTTGTTCTCTTCCTGTTCAAATGAATACATAAATCAATTTAGATGCTTTTTAAAGTGTACTTCTAATTCCAGCTCCTGTCTCAGCTGCACGTTGGCTGTTGGCTTAAACGTGATTATGCTTATGCCAATTATCCTTATTTTATTAATGCCCAGGCCCGAGCTGAAGCTCCGGCACCATCTTTAGCTCCTGCTCTGGCTCCAGCCTGGGAGCCTTTTGTCTCTGGCCCTAAACAGCTTACGAGGCGGCATTTTTGCACCTTTTATGGCTTCCGCCATAATCGACTGAACGACAAAGGCAGCCAAGGTAGCGGCAATTTATGCGCCGCATTTGTTTGTCTACACTTGAAGCCGTTTAAGGATAATGCCAGGATACCTGCGGACCTGGGGCGCTTTATGCTCATAATGCAATCGGGATTGTCTATTTTCGTGCCCTTATAAATCTGTTTGCTCTGCCGCTCTTTGTGTAAGTGTTGGCAATTCGAGGAGCCACGCTAATCTGCAGCTCGTGTTGCTGCTTATGTCAATCAGGCTCAGGGGTCCTGGTCCGTGTCCGGGTCCGGTTCCGGCCTCCTTGACTACACGCTGCTATATTTTTCCATCCTGTTTACCCATCCAGCTCTTCTGCTCCTATTAAGACTCGAGTGGAGCGCCCATTCTATTATTTTTCCTTTTGTTTTCCACTCGCATTTGGCTGAAAAGTGAGAAGTGCACTTTGCTATTCCATTGTGTGGCCACATTGTGTCTTAATTACGTTCTTAACTGGACTTGAGTGGCGTGTCCTCTTAGGCGGACTAACAGCTTAACAATGCCTGCAACTGCCACTCAAGAGAATTCTTTCCTAACGTCTCCGTATATATTCCACAGACGGCTAAGACTTTGAATTGGATTATTTGCCGGGGATTATTAGCTGTAATATCTTATTTCATTCAGCTTTCTTAAATTGCGCAGTTTAGTTGGAACTTTAATTAATGTAAAGATATCTCTATTAAGAATTAAAACATAACTTAATCAGCATCATTCAGCTTCTTTAAAAACAAAGAGACGCCTGATTAAAGAGTTAAAGACCTCTAGACTCACAATTTATCTTCCCATTTTCAGCTTCATAACTTCCCCTTGTACATCCTTTAATAAACTTGAATATTTATAGGCTTGGATTTACTCCCACATTATTCAATTACTCCTATTACTGTTTGCATATTATTAAAGGCAGCTGCCTAATTAGCAACGCTTCTATTTATATCCTTTTTGTCAATATATTTTCCCGTTCCGTATTAATATTCATTGAACTCTCCCAGATTTCTGGAAACTTTTTGTCCTTGAACCCACGCATAGATTAATATTCATCCCCTCGAGTTTGGTAGGAAAATCGAATGTCGAGAGAATCAATAATATAAATTTCCTCTCCTTATGTAATGGCTCCCAATGCTAAAATTAACAGCACATAAAATTTTCCAACCTCCTGCGGAGGCGGAAGTGAAAGAGAACTTCGAACAAAATGGCGTGGGGGACGCAAATTTAAAAATAACAAGTGTAAATCATACGCGTGGTGAGATTGCCTTGCGGTTGCTCCGTTGGCTTGTAAGCTGGCGGCAGGGGGAGGCTTCAGAGTGGAGTGCTGGAAAACTGGGGAGTGGAAATTCACGGGGCCAAAGGAAAACGCACTCAAGCACGCAGCGAAGCACAGGCCACATAACAGATGCTAATTAATGGCGGCTGCGGCAAAGGGAGCTGCCATAATGGAGCTGTGGAAATGGAGACTGAGTTGGAGACTGCAGATGCAGGATCTGGAGCCAAGACAAAGATGGCAAGTGTCTGTCGGGAATGTGCCGTTAATTGCCGGCAAAAGCGTCGAATTGCGGTTCATTGGCTCTTACAGAACCCCCCATGAGTTTGTAAATTATCGATCTCTGCATGGAATAATTTTAGACCTGCAACCTTTTACATTTTTTACACCTGTATAAGCACCAAGTTCTGGCTTTTATTTAAAGAAAAAACTTATATAGGGATCCTTATAGTCTAGATTTCTGTACTCACCTTAAACCAGTTGTCGGAAAGCTTCAAAGTCCTCACAGATTGAGCCAGAGCTGCTGGCACTTGGCACAATCCAGTGCCGCTGGCATCTAGCTCCTTGAGGCTCCAGGAGGCGACAAACTCCTGCATGGCCACTCCTACTTCCGGATTGTAGGCGATCGAAAGGCTAACCAGATCGGGTATTCCCTGCAGAGCTCGAATGGCGGAGCCACTTAGGTGATTGTGTGACAAATCCAGGTGTTGGAGATTTGGCAGGGCCAGGAATGTCTCATAGTCGATATCCGAGATGTTGTTGTGACTGAGTATAAGCGTTTGCAATTCCAGTAAATTGTAAAACGATTCCCGTGAAATATTCAGCAATTGATTGTGTGCCAAGTTGAGATTCTTAAGTTGTGGCAGCCGCTGAACGAAGAAGTTTGTGGAAAGATGTTGGAATTGATTGCAGGAGAGATCAAGTGTCATCAGAGGTAGGGTGTCACTGGTGTCAGCCAGAGTGAGGGGTATATTCGTCAGAGAATTATTGCTCACATCCAGTTGCCGCAGCTGCTTAAACTTGTCCAGGCTAACGCTGCTCAGTTGATTGCCACTGAGATCTATGGCTGTGATCGCTTGGAGGTCGCCCTTCCACTGGCCACCACTGCTGTTGAAGGCTCTCAGATCCCGATGGGTGAGATTTAACCTGTTGGCTGGGGCATTGAGTTCCAAATCCCTTTTGTGGCGCTTCTGCTGGTAGCGCAGCTCCCCTCGAAAGCTGGCCGGCTCGTTCTCATCCCGCAGCATTCGGTGGATGCTCGGGTAGCTGAGACCCACATCCTGCTGGGACAGCTGCTGCTCCTCCCACTCGGCGGCCGAGCGTGATGAGGAGATGACCAGCTGGGCATTACCGCCCACAACCACCACCAGCCTTGTTAGCAATGTCCAGGCCAGGAGTAGGGCCAGGCCTAGATCACAGTGTTGGTTCACGATTTTCACCATTTTCGCCCCACTTTCTGTCGTCGTTTTTTTTTTTTTTTTTTTTATCGTACTTTTGTTGTGGGTTCTTGTATTTTTTGTTGGAATAAATGGGGGTTTTTGGGTGTTTTTTTTTCTGGCTTTTATTTCACTTGGAATTTATGCTCGGTACGTGCGAACGTTTAACGTTCAATTTTGAATATGGCTGCTGGCTCATTCATTTCCTCGTTCACTCGTTCATCCGTTCGTTGGTCGGACGTTCCTTTTTCTGGCGGCGTCACGTGCGAGCCTTTTTGGCCAAACATGTGACAAGTGTCGGCGGCAGTCAGAGGCGGATGTTGCCCGAGGGCAATGGCTGCGTTTCCGGTCGGCCGGCCATTGCTCAGGCAGCTTGTTAAAATTTCATGGCGCACCCCCTTCCAAAATGCTGAAATGCTGAAATGTTGAATTTTTAATTAAATCAACTTGATCATTCTATTCCGGGTCGGTCGGTTGGTGTCTCGTCTGCTATTGTTCTCCCTTTTTTTTCAATTCAACACTCTGCAATTGTTTTACAATTTTAATTGCGCTCCTTTGTGTGTTGTTTTTTCTCCTTTTTTGTTGTTTTTTTTGGTGTTGTTTTCGTAGTAATTCCAAGTTTTCCTTGGCGGGCTAATTGCTGTTGAACAAAACGCAACTCAACTCGAGCAAATGTCAATTAAAAAGCGAGCATTCCCGCCTCTCCTGTTGCTGTTTCGTTTCGCCGTGTTTTTAGCCAACTGTTGTCACATTACAATGCCAAGTGCTCCCCAGTCGTTGCTGTCGTCGTCATCTTCGTCGTCGTCGCGTGCTTAAAATCTGTAATAAAACGTGAAAAAATTGCTTGTAATTACGCTCTCGTTGGGTGTTGTGTGAATGCAAAATGTGCCAAAGGTAAAACTTGCTTTCCGTTCGCTGTCTGTCGCTGCCCCATCCCCATTTTGTGTCCTCAATTTAATTTCTACTTTGGCTTTACGACTTCAAAGCGCCCTGGCAGTTGGCTTTAGTGTTATTTTTATGTTGATTGCAGCTAATGAAATTATAATTTCAACACGATTTTCAACGGACTGGCGGCGAGCAGGATGCCCTCCAAAAACCTGTCAGCCGCATGCCACTAAGTCCCGGTAATAAAGCCCAGCCCCTGGCATGTGTGTGTGCGTGTGTTTGCCATAAATCATTTAACTGGGTCATTTCATTTCCGGAGTAGACAAGCGACAGGAAGGCCACTCTGAGCAAACCCGACTGTCAACTGACAAGCCACAGCAGCTGGCCCCAAAACGACGCAAATTTGATTTACTCATTGCCGGCCTAATGACGCTCGAATGTATGCTATAGTCCCAGTCCCAGTTCCAATACCAGCCACTGCCCCTCGCCTTCTTCGTCATCTCTCTCTGCTCTCGGGAGTATTTTCGGTTTTTCCTGCTGGCCTGGCCTGGCCTTGGACAACCCAATCCGGATAAATTAATTTGTCAATGTCTACTTAAAGTCGAGCATGGCATTTTGATAACCCAACGGCCAAGGTATAATAACTTGTTAGGGCAGATTGCAGTGCATTGATGGATGGCCTAGATGGGTGATTGGAAAGTTTATAAATGCCTTTATGATTATAGAGTATTATAATGGAGATTAGTTTATAAGAGACTAGACTTGTGAAGACTTTGATTTAAGAGCTGAATATCAATCATTATGTTGTTAGTAAATTTGCCATTGAGATGTTTAAAATACTTACGAAAATGTGTTTCTAAAATAACTATTATCTTTACTATAATGAGATTTATTTATATTTTAAAGAATTTTAAATTTAATTTTGTCATAATCTTAAGGACATCTTTCCTTGGTTAAATCATTGATTTCCTTGAATTTAACGCCTACATTTTTCCACAAATTGAAGACGAAAAATATAGCCATATATTAGCTTTATTTGTCGATGCTTTCCCAGCCATTACACACAAAAATGTTGAGCCACAGGCATACAGAAAAGGCCCTGTGCCTTCCTGCCTGCCTGCCTGGTTTACGTTAAATTTATTGACAAATATCATCAAGGAGCTGGCGTTTCATTTCATCTGCTGCCGTTTGCTTACATAACAGTAAAATTTGGGCCATAAGTTTGGCGACATCCTCCATCCTCCCATTCCATTCAGTCAGATATTCAGACAGGCAGATGTACGCAAGTCAATTGACATGAAAGTCGATTTCAAAAACCAACAACAAATAGGGGAAATATCAACAGCAGCAACAACGTGAGCTGTCTGTTTGCTTGGAGAAGATTGACGCAACCCACAACACAGCTTCCCACCGGGGTGTCCCTTTTTTAGGATAAGGAGAAGGGATGAGGCCCTCTCCAAGGGGTGGTGTGCCCCCTGTGTGTGCCTCTGTGTACTTTGCCTGTCAGTTTATTTTATGCCAGCTTGAAAATAATTTGCAAATTGCTGTGCCATATTTTCGACGTACTTCTGGACTGTATTTTATGATCTGGCATTAGCGAGGGTTGATTTTCAGGAATTTGTCAGCGACTTTATTGCATATTTATATGACAGTCCTCCACACTCCCTGAGATGCCCTTTAAGTTGTGTACTTTCACAGTGCATATTTTTGTTGGTTAATCAAATGCTCAGCACAAAGCAAATAACTTTCAGTGCAACTATACTCGAGGATGGAAATGCCAGGAGTGCACAAAAGCAAAGCAAAAGTGCAGCCAGAAGGAAGAAAAAACCAGGCACTTGGAGGGCAAAATAACTTTGACAAGCCGATTTCTATATGCCCTTGCAGGCAAAAAATTCAAAGTTAAAAACAGAAGCGTTCTTAAAGAAGTTTTCTTTTACAAGAAAGATGAAACCAAAGGGAAATGATAATATCAAAAGCAAATGAAGAGTAGTATATAGTTGGATAGGTGCATCCTTTTCTCTTTATATTTAAAATTTGTTATCCCTTACTTTAGTATATTTTAAGATCCCTTTGACAGTGCACTTAGCTTACAAATTTAGCATTTACCAAAAAAGGGCATAAAAAGCGAGCTGCTTAAATAAAATCCCAGGCGCACTCATGGTGAGCTCCGAAATTGGATTTCGCATCCCCTGTTCTTTTTTTTCCCCGAACACCAGCATACGTCAGTGATTTATTCTATATGTATTTAGATGGCCCGAACTCGAATCCACACCCGTGCCCTTGCCCTTACCCTCGCCCGAATCCGCATCCGGTCCCAAACATGGCTTTATCAACGGATGCAGATGCAGTTGACAGCAAGGACAGCCATATGGCTATCCCATCCACCCATCCTGCATCCCATTCCGCCCCGAGTCCACCATTGCATTTCATTGAGTGCTTGAGACGGTGGCGGTGGCGTGGGGATGTGTTTCTGCTGCTTTTTGCTTCAGTGGTGCGCTCAATGGTGCAACAAAACACACACAAAATTGTATCTATGCCCGTCGCGGCTGGTTGCATTTTTTCCGGCACGCTGGCGTATACGTAATGCGCTGCACTTACTTCTCCGGTCTGCGAGATCCCTGCTTTATTTGTATGGAAATGTTACTGCTTTGTGCGCCCGCCCGGCATTTTCTTTGCTCAGCACGAACGGCATGTTTATTGTTTAAGTGCGCTTCCTGTGCTGTTTTGTTCATGCATTTTTCTTCTACGTTTTCCCTTCGTTCTATCCCTTTGCGTCCTTTGTTTGCTGTAGTTTTAATAAACTTCCGCTTTAGCCTTAACATCATAGAGTAGAGATGCTGGTCACTCGGGGAAAAAACTAGGTTACTTTAAGTGGAGTAAAATTTAAGCGAAATTCAAAAAGCTGATAATTCACCCACAAATACATTTCTGAATTATGTTATTTAAACATTTTCTAGGTTTTATTTTTGCAAGAAATCTTTACCCTTTAAAATGTAGCTAGTTTTTATTTCTGACAGTGTAAATTCCCTAGGATTCAGCGCTTCTGCCATCCTGGTGAATCCTGCAAGCCAGCATCTGAGCATCTGTGTCAATGTCAGGCACGTGCGGGCACGTGGATATGCATGTGGGACTTAAACTGCGTGGCGGTTCTCTGGCATCTTTAAGCAAAATGTCCAACACTTGGTGAACAATTTGCCACGACACTTGGTCGATTTTCAGCCATCGATTTGCTTTTATTTGCTGCGCATAAAAGTTTTCAAATTAAAGTTTATTTCTGGCTTTCGACTGTCAGGCTGAACGATCTGGCAATTTGGTAGGCAGGCAGACAAGCAGGCAGGATGGAGATGAATGGAGAGTGGGAACCGGAAAAGATTGGAATTGGCGGAAAAAAAAATCCATATCGATAACGAAAAACTGTGGAAATGGCCAAGATGGTGGTGTTGTTTCTGCCTCGAGTGTAGGCCCACTCAAAGGTGCTCAGTTTGAGCCTCGAAATTGGTTTCTTTTTGTGTTTCTCCTAAAAGTTTGAGTGGGGTTTTTAGGAGCATTTACTGAGACCAGATTTGCGAATGTTTCTTTTTAAAGTTTTTGAATTTGCTAATGTCCAAGTAACAAGGATTTTTATAAAATCTAGCTAGCTATGACTTTATTTTCTCATTAATTTCCTTATTTCCATGGAGCCCATTAATTAATGCTGATCAAGAAAATATGTGATTTATAGGGTGAAAATGGCTCCTTCACTGATACAAATTATATTTTCTCTGCCATCGAAATTTTTATATATATTATCATTAATAATATTAATATTATTATTAATATTATATAAAATAATATAATATAATAATATAAAATAATAATATTATATAAAATAATATAATTATTATAATTTTATAATATAGTAATGGCAGTGAATATCTTACTCTCGCCCTCTCTTTCTGTATGCCTTTGTAAGCCTCTGCCTCTCGCTCTCTTTCTTACTCACAATAACATTTGGTATGTCTGCCTCCCTCTGTTGCAGCTCTAGAGATGGCGCTTACGCTCTATCTCTCTCTGTTGCAGCTACAGAGGTAGCTCTTTCCCTCTCGCTCTCTTTCTCTGGTATCATGGATCGGGTAGTATAAATAGAGGTGCTTCGATCGCCGCGACCTCAGTCTGTCCTAGGGGTACCTAGTGTTAACATCTATAGTGATAGTGATTGTGATTACCCTTCGACCTAAAATATATGAATATATATATATATATAAATGTTCTAGCTATGTGAACAATAATGTTTACTGTTCATTTATGGTTTATTGTTAGAGTTCTGGAAATTTTAGAAATATTTCTTATGATTTCTTCCAAAACTAAACCAAGTCAAAAAATACAATAGCTTTTTTGTAATCTTATTTTATCCTTGGGCCATTAATAAAATGTGGCCTTCAAAGTTTGAAATATAAGTATAAGGCCTTCATATCAACGGGATCTGTCATTCCATCAGCGGGAGATTTTCTGGAGGCACATGTCATTGACTTCCATTCGCATTTTGCCGCCATGTTGTTCTCTTTATTAATGCCCTGCGGTAAAAAGGGACCACTCACACTTCCATCTCGGATCTCCCATTTCCCCATTTCCCGCCCATGGAACACCCAACACCCAAGCAACCAAAAACACATAAGTAAAATCTGTAATAAACTTGATGTTTTTGTTGTTGTCAGTGGGTGAGTGTGAGCGGGGCTTTTATTGTTTTATTTGTGTGCGTCTTGCCAGGCAAGTTTTTTTTGTTGTTTTTCTTTTATTTATTCTTTTTGGTAGTTTTCCGTCTGCTTTTATTTGTTAAATTGTGTTGTGAAAAATCGCTGAAGGCTCAGGGCCGCCACAACAGAGCCGGGCCCCTTGTGTATGTTTATTTGGTTTGCTTTTTGTTCCGTTTCTTTCTATTTTTTTGATGCGCAGTA